CGCGGCCGAAGGCCGCCTAAGCAGAAAGGTATTCTCTGCAAAAGGTGTTTAGCCCCCCTTCTTTGGCAACACAAAAAGGAGAATTCTACTGCCTGAGGGTTATAATCCCTAAGTGCGGCCGAAGGCCGCCTACGCCGAAAGATGCTCTCTACTAAAGGTGTTCAGCCCCTCTTCTTGGGCAACAGAGAAAAGAGTAGTGAGGGTTTTAATCGTTTCGGAAAAAATCCAAATTTCCGCTGTTTTCAAACAGCTCCCAAGGGGTATTTAGGGGGGGAGGGGCGTGAGGGGTGACTTTTTATAAAGCGGCGTCCATCCTTTTTCGTTTAGGGGGGTTTGGGGAGCCACGCCCCCTTCCCCTCCACCCCCTTCCCCTCCGCCCCACCCCTAAATCGTTGTACAAGTAGCTAAAGATTTCCCGTTTATTAATAAATTCGGTTTGCACTATGCACTTTATTGCAAATTTCGCTGTGGGTTCGTGCAAAAATACTGTGAATGGCGTATCCGGAATTATATGCACAAAAAATGTTGTACGGCTTTGACATGCGGAAGCCCCTCTTCTGCGGCAACACAGAAAGGAGAATTATAGAATTTATATATATATAGAATAATCCCTAAGCGCGTCCGTGGGCGGAAGAATCGCAACAGGTGGACCCAACAAAGTGCATGTTTTCAATGGCTTGGAAGAGGCTGTTATTGCATTAACTGGATTGAGAACCAGTTCTTCAGGCATAGGAGGTTGTGGTTGAACAATTCAACTACTATGGTTACTATGCCCGACAGCTCCGCATATCTTTGCGAATTCACTTCCATAGCGTGCTCCTACGCTGCCGCTATAATTGAAAATGCAATAGAATTCATTGTTTCTTTCAAAAATCGAACAGATTAAGATTCATCGATTTTAACACCCCTATTCTGCAACTCTTTCGTATTCGGATATTGCTACGAATCGTAGAAATAGTATGCTGCAATCCGAATCGTATTTTCGAACTTTCGAAATTCGTAACAATGACATGCCCAAAAACGAACGAGTAAGCTTTTTCGCGTGATTTTGTGCGAAAACAATTCTGTGTCGGAGGCTAAATAAAAGATGTAAATCAATGTGTGTTTGCAAGAAATATTGGTGGTGTTCATTTAAACAGATAAATTTGCCTTTCGCATATACGTATATTTTTATCCCCTGTTTTATATAAACAAGCAAATAAGAATCTTTGTTGCCCCTTATCGAGAAACTTGGGTCCGGCTTAGTTATTTGTACAACGATTTTCTGTTGTTGTGTCCAAACGCATAGCCCGAACCCAAAAACTTTAACATGCACGTGTAATCAAAGGATTCATATTTTTTTAAGATAAATGTTTCAAATTTTCTACCACTAGCTTATTAATAAACTCGGTTTGCACTATGCACTTTTTTGCAAATTTCGACGTGGGTTCCGCGCAAAAATACTGTGGACGGCGTAGCCGGAGTGATATGCACAAGAAACTTTTGACATGCGGAAGCCCCTCTTCCCCGCAACACAGAAAGGTGAATTCTACTTAGTAAGGGTCATAATCCCTAAGCGCGGCCGAAGGCAGAAGCAAGCGCAACAGGTGGTGGACCTAAAAAAGTGTATGTTTACAATGGCTTGGAGGAAGCTGTTATTGCATTAACTGGATTGAGGCTCAACAATTCAACCAGAAGCTGACATAGATGCGCCCTTGGTTACTATGCCCGGCAGCTCCGCATACCTTTGTGAGTCCATTGCCATAGCGCGCTCTTACTCCGCTGCTATAACTGCAAATGCATCAGAATCCATAATTTTCCTCAAAATATTGAAAATCAATAAATTTTACTATAAACAAGCACATGATGAGTGCTTTTTTAATTCCTTTCCACTTTGTTTTCCTTCATTCAGCTATCTTCGAAAAACAACTCATAGCTGGCAATGCTGCACATGTTTCCGCAAGGGTTGCAGCATGTGGGTTTTTCGTTTTTCGTAGCGTATCTACGAATTACGAAGATTCGGCTTCTAGAATAAGGGCGTAAATTATGTTCTGGCAGCATAAACTCATCGTAGAGTATCTGTACGAGTCTTTATTACGAACGGATTCAATGAAGGCTCTCTACAAATTTCGAAGTTCGTAGCTATTCGGATTCAGTGATAGCACTTTCGTAAATTCACGAAAATCGAGCCTCCGATGCATTCTGTGATTGCTCTGATTAATTTCGCCAGGTGTCTTAAACTATGTTCACATATCAATATTATCCCAATCAAAACTCGTTTTTTAATCACCCCGTTTACACAGGCAAATCTCAGATTATTAGCCGTCAAATTTGTTGTGCTTGTTATTCTCACATCTCAAGGAAAAGTTATGTTTCTTCTCTGTGCCACCGTGATCACGTTTTGATGCTATAATAAGCAATATAAATATATTTTAACTTAACATTTTATTAAAAATACCTTTACAAACCTCTTTTCCTTGCTAGCGAACATTTTTGTTTACTTTTACATTTGGCATTTCTCCTCTTTTTTGCAAAAACAATCGATAAAACTAGGATGGACACCGAAAAGTTAAGAAGCCATGTTGATGGGTAAGAGATTAATAAAAACTGCGAGTTAATTAATTTGTGTCAAATATATGGAACAAAATGTACCTTTTATTTTTCGGTTTAGTTTTTCATACATTTGCCACAGTATATTTGCATTCAAGTTACACACATATATTGCATATTGTGAGTGATTATTTATAAAAGATTTAACACAAATCAACTAAATATAGATTTTTAACTATAACACAAAACACAATAAAATCTTGACTTCAAAGTCACAGAAAAACTAAATGTATTTTTTATAAAATAAACGATACAAAAATATGCATACATAAATGTTTCTCAGTTCTGTTGTAGTTAAGAGTCACTGCACAAGCTTTTATTCAACGAATTTATGACTTTTGCAGCGGTCAACGCACACTCAAAAAAAAGATACATAAGTATATATATATCGTCACCTGAAATGCAAAATAACTGACATCAGCGTAACAGTGGCTACACACGACGAACATGTGCGCGCACACGCTCGGCTTGTGCGGCGGTTCACGAGCATCCTCGCAAAAAATCAAAAAATTTTGGTTTTCAGCGACCATGCTCGTCGTTTGTAGCGTGGTTTGCGAGCATCGCATTGGAAACAAAAACAACAACCTCATTTTGTATTGATGCTTGAAGTGTGCACTTCGGCGGATAAATGCATCCAAGCCATGTTCGTTAATTGCATTTTTGAGAAATGAGGCTAAATTACTATAAGTATATGTATGTACATACATACAAGTAAAATATAAATAAATTTAAGTAACACATACATAAGTTAAAAGCATTGCAATTGCATCATCCGCGTCTTGGCTAATCATCTTTACGCTATCACGACAAAATGAGCCGCTCATCGTCTGTGGCAAACGACAGCGAGCATGTTGGCGCACATATGCGCGCAGATGTTCGTTGCGTGTAGGCAGTCTAACTGAAATGCAAAAAGTCGTATAAAAAATTCAAAATTCACTTTTTGATTGCTATGATGGATTTCATCAAATTACAACTCCGCACATCGTTTTATGAAAGAAGAAAAAATTAGTCACGACTTTTTCCACTTCAGTGGCGATGTTGGTCCGTTATTTTGCATTTCAGGTGACGATATATAGATATTAACGCGTTTTTATATTCCACATTCGCTACTAACTCGTGAAAAATGTTCTTAGCCTATTTGCCCTTCTGCGAAGTGTTTCTTTTTTGCCTTATCAAACTTTATTCAACAACCGTTGTAAATCTGCGAAATTCAGCTCCCTCTTTTTTTGTATACTATTATTTAATACCATATGTATGTATGTATTTATATTGGTACATATTTTTATGAAGGTATACGAGATTTTTAAATATATGTATAAACCTTAGTTTCTGTGTTCTATAAGATTAAGGGTGATATTATCACTTGCGAAGCGAATGATTTTGGCGAAGCGAACGGTTTGGCGGAGCCAATTTAAGGGCAGGGAAGGCATTAAAAGTTTTCGCGATGCAAAGAACTTCCACAAGCTGGTAAAAAAGAACACTCTTAATGCATATTTAAGTTGCGTCCGCCAATCCATTCGCTTCGCCTAACCGTTCGCTTCGCCAAATTCATTCGCTTCGCAAGTGATAATACCGCCCTAAGGATTGGATCTCATTAGTGAAACACGATTTCTACACATTTTTATGGGTTTCCAGCAATCGCTTCGTTTTATTCCTAAACATATTCGTTGCGCACCGATGCGGTGTGGTAGTATCAGAAGAAAGGCTTCGTCGATTCCTTTAGATTGGAAAGTCCCTTGGCATTTCCTACTAGCGTCAAAGAGAAAAAAATTAAATTTATGTTTTTGAAGATCGACCAAATTCGCTAGCGATTTAGATCCAATCAATAAGAAAAAATCTTATCTGATTTGTGCACATCAATGTAATATTCGATATAAGTCACGTGTAAGCAGCTTTTTTGCTTTTGAAAGCAAAATTTGCAAATTTGGCATTCTGCTAAAATTTGCAACATTTTTAATTAAAACAAACTCTTGGTAGGTACAATTTTTAACATTCTCAAATTCACATTTCTAGATTCACTAAATAATTATAAAATATATTCCATGCTTTAATTAATATTTACCTTTTGTATATATGTATGTATGTACATATGTATATGTATATATTTGCGTTAAGTTAAAAAATATACATATTTTTTAGTCCGCAATAAGTTTAAATTTCACACTCAAATTCGTATTTGAAAATTTGGGGTTAGTTATTTGTTAAACAATAAAACAGGAGGCACATAAGGGAACCAAAGGATTATAACTTTGATTAATTTTACTTCCTAAGTAAACAGGCTTACAATACGTCTAGAAAAATTTAACAATGAAAAAGAATCGACAAGAAAATAAAAATAACACAGAAATACTTTTAGTCCATCAATCCACTACCATATCTAAGTTTATGAAAGGAGACAAAAAACAACAATATGATGAGGTCCCTAAAAAGTTTAATTGTAAGAATAAACAATCGAGTTAAACGTTTTCAAGTTCTGTTTAGATTTGACTAATAATTTTCTAGATCAGAACAAAAACGATTACTTCGTAAGAGTAACAATTTAATCAAGTTGAATAAACTCAGCTTAGAGTAACGTTTCAACTGTAAAATTTTGGAAAAAGGCGCTCTGCTGTGCATCCACGAAACTTTAGTTGTCAGCCTAGCGGTACACGTAACAAGGTAGGATGAATGCGTTTAAACGCAAGTTGGTGTGTGAGACACGGTAGCTTCTATATTAGAATCCTTGCTGCGGCAACACATCTCACATATTCGTTTCGTATCGGGATTGAGAAAAGTGCAAAACCGGCAACTCCATTCGCTTGGGCCACTTATTTGTGGTTGAAGGTTTCCAACTTCCGCAGCGGCTTGCTTTCGATTCTTCAATCGCACGATTCCGTCCGGTTGCGCTTCGCCGTTGCCATTATTATTGTCGATTGTTGAAGTTGTGAGCAAATTCGAAGTTAGCTTTAAGGCAGACTTCGTTTTTTTCCCTGGCTGTTGATGTTGCTGTTTTAATATGGATTTTTCCTGTTTGCCCAACTTTTTCTCATCACGCTTTTCACCGTCCGTACGCGCTTTGCCTAGATCATTTGTAATTTGTCGGCCGGATTTAGCCGATTCTATGTGATTTAAACGGCGCCGTTCAACGGGAGCTTTTCCGCCGTTGCAGCTTCCCCCGCCACCATTCGATAAATTCATTGAATCCAAATCTAACCCCTGAACAAGAAGATCACCCCGTTCGCCTAAATCTTTTGAATAGCCAGATCGCTCTAGGTTCTTAAAAACATAGTTCCATGATTCGAAGGAGCCAACACCATCCTGGTTTTTAGACGCTTGTGTTGGCGAGCGTTGCGTAGGATGTTCGCTGTGGCACACGGTGACGAAATCATCAAAATTCGAATCAAAGCTCATTTCCGAAGCTTCATTGGTATGAGTAGATATTTTCCTTCGATTACCAGCTCCAGATATTCCGTTGAGCGAAGTGGTACTATCTTTCAATTCCATGGTCTGCAGATGTAATTGCTTGTCATTATTGTCAAGTACATCCTGAAGAAAGGGGGAGAGACAGTCATATTATTAGTGCAAGATTTTTTATTTATTTATTGAAATTCAAATTTTAAACTAAAGGGAGCATTTACAGCTGTGAGTGCATTTTTGAAATGTTCTTCTGTTTACAATATCAACATGGAGGGAAGCTTCGCATGCATAATGACATAAATTAAACGTTTTTGAAATTCTATTGCAACTAAAACTTCACTTCAAGCAGATACATATGGGTGTTTCCATACAGCCGTACGCGACATTCATACGCTTATAGAGCAACGTAAATCTATCAAAAATAGAAGTTACAGAAAAAAAAACATTACGGTTATGTTTCAACCAAAGGGTACTATGTTTGAGAAAAAAATAAGCAGCCTCGAAACTTTGGTGTGGAAAATATCCGTTCAAAACCAGGTGATAACGTACGCGACAAAAAAAGAAGTGGTTTTAAATTACATATACATATATGCGAAAGTCTGCGAATCATGAGAGTTTTTCTTTTCTTTAAAAATTCCTAAACTAAGCTAAATAATGTACCTTTACAATTTTCCATTTTTTGATAGAAATTATCTCTGGTTAGTTTTTATTAAAAAAAATTATAATAAAGTACGCGACATAACGTACGCGACAGACTTTTCCCGCATACACTATTTTTACTAGTAACACATACTAAATTAAATTTTTTCAGTTCTTCTCTCCACCGTTTCGCATTTTCAAAACCTTTTTCCGCCATCTGAATACGAAATTTAAAGTTATAAAGCCGTTTGAATTCATTTGCTTGCATTTTCGGTTTACATTTTCATGGAAACACGCATATATGCGAAAGTCTGCGAATCATGGGAGTTTTTCTTTTCTTTAAAAATTCCTAAACTAAGCTAAATAATGTGCCCTTACAATCCTTTCATATTTTAAGAGAAATTATCTCTGGCTAGTTTTATATTAAAAAAAAAACAATAACGTACGCGACAACTTTTCTCGTAAGTAATAAAATGTATTTATTGAGAACTCTTCTCGCCACCGTTTCATTGTTTTACAACTATTCTAAATAATTTAAATGGAAAATTTGCAATTAACATTGGTTTTGATGTATTTGATTGAAATTTTCGTACTTACAAAACGTATGCGACAAACTTTAAAGGGTAATAAAATATATTTTTACTTCGGTTGGAAAGAAAATTTTACTGTATATCTTTAACTAGAAGAATTCTGGCTTAAGAATTGTAATCTGCATTACCTGCGACTGCCAATATACAAATGACATAGACAAACAATGTTTTTGCATAACGTACGCGACATTAGAATACTATCAGAAGCAAATCAAAAAATTACCGTTATTCGAGCTCTAGCTTCTCCTTTTTCTCATTTTTATAGTTAGTTGTTATTGCAAATTTGATTTTAAGATGTAATTGTAATGTTTCAAATCTCTTAATTTAGTTAATAGGAAAGAGAAAATAGTTCATTTTATTAGAGAAAACTGAGTCGAAGAGACATTCAGTTTTACTCTTCCATTTTTGAGTTTTAAAATTCCAATAAGCTGAAATACTTCTATAATATAAAAATTCGAGTATTTTTCTCTTATTAATTCGTCTTAAAAACCCTTTTCAGTTGTTTTTATTTTTTCAGTCCTGGTTGACAATTTCATGGAAACACCCATATGCAAACATAATAACATTTCAAAAAAGGAACGATAGTGAATTAAAAAGTCCTCAATCGTGAACCTGTCTACCAAGGCGTATTCAATAAGGTGGTATCGGTACGCCAACAACAAAATGTACATGTATTTTGATTTTGCTTTTGCGGCGAGGACTGTCAAAAATTTCATACCAACCAATCAACAGCAGCCATTTGACATATGAAGCCGTGAGGCGAAGGAAAATAAAAGGGTGCTGCTATCACCTGTTAAATACGCCTTGCTGTCTACATTTTCTATCTCTCTTGTTGTCTATATTAATATTGAGAGCAAGGTGTATTAAACAAGGTGTGATTGACAACTCAGGTAGGCTCTCTTTTAAGGTACTATTATGCCAAAAAATATAAACAATCGATTCAAAATTCATACAAAATTTTTTTAATTTGACTTTATAGGATGGTTCTTCTGAGAGCCATGGCAAATTCAATCACAGTTTGTTGAATACATTTTGATTGAGTGTAAGTTATCGTAACGTAGAGACAGCCATGATAAAAAAAAATAGGAAGGTAGAGCCGCTGAGAGGGATTATTGACGTTTGCAAGCAATTTAGTTTTTAAATTTTACCCACAACCTCACACACACATTCTCATTTTCAATCTCAAACAACAACTTTGAACAATTCCTTTTTATACATTTCATGAGCATGAAATGGTATTATAACTTTGGTCCGCTGTTTGTAAGTACCAGAATAAGAAGAGATAGACCCATTAAAATGTATACTTAAATGATCAGAACGGCGAGCTGAGTGATTTAGCCATGTCCGTCTGTCCGTCTGTCTGTCTGTCTGTCTGTCCGTCTGTTTGTATGCAATCTAGTCTCTCAGTTTTCGAGATATCCGGATCAAATTTGGTAGGTGGGTGTATTTTTATAATGTATTAATCATTTGTCGGAACCGGAAGAATCGGACCACTATAACATATGCTCCCATACAACTGATTGTTCAGATATGAGATTTTTCGTTATAACTTCTCCATTTATGCAGCTAGGAACATGAAATTTTGCAATGCTTCCACCCATTATCAACAGAAAACTTAGAGTGAAAATTACAAAGATCGGGTCACTATAACATATAGCTCCCATACAACTGATTGTTCAGATATAAGATTTTTCGTTATAACTCCTCCATTTAAGTAGCTAGACTCATGAAATTTTGCACTGTTGTCACTTATTATCAAAAGAATACTTTCAGTGAAAATGGCGAAGATCGAGTCACTACAACCTATATCCACCATACAACTGATTGTTCAGATATGAGATTTTTTGCCATAACTTCTTCATTTATGCAGCTAGGAACATCAAAATTCGCACCGTTTCCACTCATTATTAACAGAATACTTATAGTGAAAATAACAAAGATCGGGTTACTTTTACATATAGGTCCAATACAACTGATATGCGATTTTTTATAACTACTCCATCTATGCAGCTAGAAACATGAAATTTCGCACTATTTTCACTCATTATCAACAGAAAGTTTACAGTAAAATTAACAAAGATCGGGTCACTATAACCTGTTTATTGCCCCCATAAAACTGATTGTTCAGATATGGGGTTTTACTTAAAACTCCTTTATTTGGACAGCTAAAACCGATTAATTTCGTAAGCTATTTTTTAAATAATAATACAAAGTCTACTGAGAAAATCGTCAAAATCTATGCTGTATAATCTTAATCTCTTGTACCACTGATTGTTCAGATACCAGTTTTTGCGATATATGTATCTATTTTATGTAGGAAGCTAAACCCATTAAATTGTGTTACCGGTTTACGTACCGATCACACAGCAGTGAAAATCACTTAGATTGGTGCTATATAAGGTATATCTTCCATACCTCTGATTGTTTAGCTAGAATTTTTTATATATGTATCTCCTCTATCTATGTCTGCTGTGAATATATAAATTTTTTCAAATGCAGTAATCTGTTAACGTAAAATTTTCAGATGCTCATGAAAGGTATGGAGCCTTCGGCATAGCCGAAGACAGCGCTGCTCTTACTTGTTTTACTCTCAATTTTATATGACTTTAAAATGTTGGCAAACTTCAAAAAAAAAATCATTGCCGACGAATTGAGAGAACGGTTTTACCTTACTATGTTTTTATCATGGAGACAGCTATGGGCAGATAAATGCTCTATAGCGATTTATGTACCTTAGGGCGGGTCGATTTGTATAGAACGATTTTTTCGACGTCGCTCGTAGAAGATTCGGAAGTTCTATGAAAAAAGTCCTTTAGACAATAGCTGTAAAGTCAATTTCGAGCCTACGAAATCTTAAAGAAGCAATATTTAATTAATACATTAATATGAAGATTAATGTTAACTAAAGTGTTACGAATATTATTCTTAAAAATCAAATCAAATTATTTGTAATTTTATTTGTCTTCTGCGCATTTATTAAGTGTAAACAAGAGAAAGAAAACTCCGGTCGTGATATCTACTACGCGTTGCACAAACAAAAATGTTAAAATAAAAGTTGTGGAGAATGAAATTCTCTACACCTTTGACATTTAAATTTGTCAAGTATTTTCAACAGAAATTGTTGAAAATGGCAAAAACCGTGAAAATTAAACCAACTTTTCGCACTTCTTCCTAATTATTTGCAATACATTTTTTTAACTGTAGATATAAAAAATTAGGGAAATTAAATTATCTGCAAATTTTTATCTACAACACAAACAAAACCCTAAAATCTAAGATGGCGGATTGTTCCCATATCAACTTTAAGGACAATGCTGTGAATCTATAATCTACGAATAAAATAGTAGTAAACTGCGTCAAAAGTTCCAAACTACAATTTTGTTTTTGAAAAAGTCTAAAGTTACTGGGCTATATTAGCTAGCGACGTGTGATTCATAAAAATAGAGAGAAGAAATAAGATACCTCGTGTTGAAAGAAAAAGGATCTAAGCCCAAAATATTTACAAATACGTTGTTAATTATAAAAACAAATTATGATTCAAAAACTAATGTTAATAATAAATTTTTTATATATTGTACAATTTTATTGCTCTTAGTGTTTTGTAAATTTCACTTTGATTTACATAAAAATAATTACATAACCAACAAACATTAAGGTTAGAGAACGATGGGAAAACGAATCAAATAAGTTTCTCGACGGTAGAAGATTAGAATACGATTACAGAAACTGCCGAGAATTGTAGCATTCGCTAAAAAAGGGGAATTAGTTATCGATATCGAGAAAAAGGTTAGGTCGTGTTTTAACGTTGAATTCTAATGGATTTCAAATATGTTGGGTTTTTCTAATCATTCTCTAATCGAATTCTAACCTAGTTCTCTAACCTGATTTTCGATTCGAGAA